GGAGGCTGAGGCAGGAGGATTGCTTGAGCCCAGGAGTTTGAGGTTGCTGTGAGCTAGGCTGATGCCATGGCACTCTAGCCCAGGCAACAGAGTGAGACTCTGTCTCAAAAAAAAAAAGAAAGAAATATGTTTAAAATCTCACAGAAAAGAATCTGTTTCACTCTGCTTAATCCAATGCCTTTCAAATTTATTTAATTAAGGAATTCTTTTTTTTTTTTCTTAGAGAAGAGCTGGATCGATACTGGTGGACAGGTGAACTCCGAGAGTCCAGAGATTTTTTGTGAAATGTGTAGACAGAGAAATCTGAAGGAACAATTTATAGATCCAAATTCTTCTTGACAACTTCAGTACATCCTCTTAGTACATACTTATATACAAACTCCTCTGTCTGAGAAGAAACCTAAAGTCAAAGCCTGGTGGCTGTCCCTTCTTTCCACGATTTCAGTATGGAGTTTTCACTCCATACAATAAAGAATTTTACTGAGACATATTGGCATGGAGTACAAAACCTCCCCAGTCAAATAAGTGGTCAATGTGAAACTCAAATTGGTGATGATGACTCTTTTAATCAAGAGGCTGTCACCCACTCCTGCTCATCTCATTTAGAGGTGCATTTCCAATAAAACTTGATTTTTATGTTTAGTATTTACCAAACTTTTGACACTTTATATCATACCCAAAATAGTTAAAATAACTCACTCCAGAAGAAATTTTTGAATGCTTAGAAATTTATGGTCCCTCCAATATTCTTTTCATTTTAATTTCAACTTATATGGATCCTTTGGTTATAGAAAATTATGATGGATTGCTCAAATATTTTTAAGCATATAAACATACATGAAGTTAAAGTTCTGTGGGTGAAGTAGAAGAGAGATATAATTTCAAGGAGAAAAAAACATAACATTTCTTTATTTCTTTTCTTCTTTTTTTGAGATAGAATCTTGCTCCACTACCTGGCTAGAATGCAGTGGCATCATCATAGCTCACTACAACCTCAAACTCCTGGGCTCCAACGATCCTTCTGCCTCAGCCTCCCCAGTAGCTAGGACTACAGGCACACTCCACCATGGCCAGCTAATTTTTTTCTATTTTTTGTAGAGACGGGATCTCACTCTTGCTCAGGCTGGTTTCTAACTCCTGGCTTTAAGCAATCCTCCCACTTTGGCCTCCCAAAGTGCTAGGATCACAGGCATGAGCCACCATGCCCAGCACATTTCCAATTTTTAAAGAAGATCTTGCTCATGCCATTTTTTAAGTGGACAATAAGTACCATATCACAATGGTACTTATGTTACATGGGACACATTTAAAAGAATGATTAATTTAAAGGGTTAATTTGAAAATGTCAATTACATTATCTAGAAATTATATATTTCCTATTTAATGTGAAAAATACTTGCTGTCAAGTTTTAAAAATATGCAAGGAGGTACATAGTTTTTAAAAATTCATATGGGGGCTGGGCATGATGCCGCACACCTGGTAGTCCCAGGTACTTGGGAGGCTGAGGCGGGAGGATTGCTTGAGCCCAGGAGTTGAAGGCCAGCCTGGGCAACTTAGGGAGACCTTGTCTCAAAGAAATAAAATAAATATTGATAAATTTAATTAATTAGTTAAAAAATTCTTATGGGTATACGTGAACAAATGTCTGATCACAGCTCCAGGGCAGAATGGAGGAAGTGCTGGCAGTACAAAGAGCAGGGTTTGGAATCAGGCCGGCAGGAAAGACTCAGTAAAATGCCTGCTTTACCCAGATCTCAGGGTTAAACAGTGGAGTGCCTGGCACAGAGCCAGCTATTCAACCGACACCTGCTGTGTGCCACCAATGTGCCAGGCACTGGGGAGAAGGAGGGTTTAGACAGACACAAGTCCCTACTCTACGGCACTAATGTGCTAGCGTGTAGTTGATCTGTTGCTTCTGTGTCAATGCATGTTTGCTGAAATTCTAAAGAGCTTTCAAAAAGACCTTATTCTCAGGCAGTTTTTAGGAGCCGTGACTACAAAAGCAGTGACTCATTTTCTGATATTTTAGAATGGATCCTTCTGGATTCCATCATTCTCATTAGAATAATCACCTGAGGAGACATGATGCACTTAACTCAGTGACAGGCCGTTACTCAAAAGTCTTTAAGCTGCTTCTGTGGAATTGACTTCAAAGCATACAGCACAGCCATCCGAACATCCTTAGTTCCGGTAAATGTTTGGCTGTGGAGGACAAATTTGACTTGGAGGGGAACAGAAGTTATTCACCTCAAGGTCTGGTGACCATGGTGGGTGATGAGATGGGGTGGGAAGATCATTCGCCTCAAACTCTGGAAATGGTGAAAAAGAGTCAGGAGATGCCGTCTGTTCCTTTTATGTTCTACACGGTGTGTTTGTTCTCTTTTATGGAGGCAGAAGGGAAAGTGCTGGCCACATCAGGGGCACTTGGCTGTGAGGTCGTTTGATGATTCTGTGGCCTCAAGACTCTGGGGACAGAGCTGGCTGGGGCTGTGGCGGCCCCTGGCACCCGCTGCTTTAGTTCTGCTCATCCTGCTGCAGCCGGGAGGGGCCCACAGCTGGAAGAAGCTGGGGAGCAGAAGCAGCTGTCCCGGGAAGACTCTGGCTGAGGGAGTGTGGCCGGGCCAGCCGTGAGGGGGCACTCGGGGCCCCCGTTTGAATCACACTCGAGTGTGTGTTGAGTCTGGTCTGTGAGGCCGGATCAGTCACTGATCCATGATCAGTCACTGTGCGCTGAGGGAACGGGTCCAGAGGGAGCAGAGGGTGCAGCATACGAGCTGGGGAGGGGCAGACAAGGAGAACAGAACCCAGTACGTGTGGCCGTCTCATGATCCGCTCTGCCTGTCCCATCCGTCACTCCTGTGTGGCCACAAAGCACTGGACAAAAGCGCTAGGGATTCTCAAGGACCCTCAATTCTCAAAGGAATATTGGCTTTTCATAGTAGAATTTGGTGTGCATGGCATTTTATGACTTCCTGATTCTGCACTTCTCTAGTATTTTACTCGACTCGAGTCATCCCATCCCTGTGCCGGCACTGAGCTAGGTGCTGTGGGAGACATTGTCTCTGTCCTATGGCAACCTGAATCTCCTTAGGAAGATGAGAATAATATGCATGCATCCTGTAGAGTGAGGTTTCATTTCAAATGTCAGCTAATTGGTGACCATGTAGAGTATTTCATCAAATCTAAGACAGCATTAATAGTAAGATGCCATTTTATGTGCTCTCAAGAAAGAAAAAAAAAAATACACTGTCAATTAAATTGTAAGCCGTTGCTTTCATATTACTTAGAATTTTTATTTATACTTATTGAAAGAGCCTTTTAAGACTATAGTGTTGTGGGTTATTTTTTTTAACATATATTGCTGCCATTCATTCATAAAGTGGAAAATAACAGCCAAATAAATTGCCCATGGTTTTCCTAAGCTGCTTCACATTCAGAGTACGATGCATCTGTAGCATCTTGAGCTTGGAATTACTGATGTGCATGTTCCCCACACAGTACCATTCTCTGCCATCAAGAGCACTCATCAGGCAACATTTCTTACAAAAATTCTTTTGACTTTCTTCTAAATCTCTGACACCTATTGTGTAAACTGATGGGCACACAGGTAATGACAACCACAGCTACCTGGCAAAAGTGACTGTAATCAAAAGTGTAATCAAAAGTTACTCATCCCAATTTCCAATATCTCAAAAGTGAAAAAAGACATCTTAGACTCGATGAAATATGCATTCCAAGAATCAGGTGCTAAAACAAGCACCATGATCAACTATCTGTGTCTGCCCTGGGAGTGGGGTTGACATTGGAGCTACATTCTTGACATTAAGCACTAACTTGCTTCCGTATATTTGTGACAGCAGTTGTAGGGAGTTCTCAGTGAGCTAGTAGAGTCAGGAAGACTTTATGGATGAAGTAGGTCTGAAAAGGTGAGATTTGGCCTGGACAAGAGGAGACGACTTCCAGCAGAAGGAATTGCACAAGCACAGTTTAGAAGGTTCAAAAGGGTGACAGGTGTGTCATGTGGAGAGGAAAGTGGGGTAACCAGTTAGGGGTGGGGTTTCATGAGGGAATGGGGGGTGGATATAAACACATGAGTTTTTGCTCCAAGAACATGAGTTCAAGTTAGCATGTTTTACTTGTGGAAACGTAATAAACAGTTCTCACATCTCTATAACTTTTATTTCTTTCCTTACCATAGGTCCTGATGTTTTTAGTTCAAAGAGTCTTGCCCTTCAGGCCCAGAAGAAGATTCTGAGCAAGATAGCCAGCAAGACTGTGGCCAACATGTTGATTGACGACACCAGCAGCGAGATCTTCGATGAGCTCTACAAAGTCACCAAAGAGCACACCCACAACAAGAAGGAAGCCCACAAGATTATGAAAGACTTAATCAAGGTGGCAATCAAAATTGGGATCCTCTACCGGAACAACCAGTTCAGCCAGGAGGAGGTTGTTATCGTGGAGAAGTTCCGGAAGAAGCTGAACCAGACGGCCATGACCATCGTCAGCTTCTATGAGGTGGAGTACACCTTCGACAGGAACGTGCTCTCCAAGCTCCTGCACGAGTGCAAAGACCTGGTGCACGAACTTGTGCAGCGACACCTGACGCCCAGGGCACCACGGGCGCATCAACCACGTCTTCAACCACTTTGCCGACCTGGAGTTCCTCTCCACCCTCTATCGCCTGGATGGAGACTGTCGGCCCAACCTCAAGAGGATTTGTGAAGGAATCAATAAGTTGCTAGATGAGAAAGTCCTTTGAATGCCTTCCTTCCTCCTGGACTTTGCTGCTTTAACCTTACGGCACCCAGCCACAGTCCGGGTGAGAAATCAAGTAGCTAAGCAGAAACCCTTGTCAAAGATGTCGCGTGTTCTGTCCATTCGTCCCTCTGTATGCTGATGCCGAACTTAGCCCAGGTGTGTTTATCTTCTGAGCTCTCTACGATATCTGTACTTAAATCACCTGTGTCTGCAAGCCCGACAGGACATTTCAACTATTCTAAGCAGAAGGCTGCTTGCTCATCACAGTGGCTCAGTTCGTCTTGCAGAGTGGAACGAGCCCTGGACCAGGAGCCGGAGGATATGGATTCGGTTCCCAGCTCCACCAGTTACGACTGTGTCCTCCGTGTCCTGGAACCACGATGCCTGCCTGCCTACCTCACAGGGCTGTTGTGAGGATCGAATGAGATGAAGTATGTTCACATGTTTCTGAAAATTCTAATGTAAGGTCTTTGTATTTTCTCTTCTGGTGTGAGAGATATAAACTGGATGTAGACGATTAAGCAGCATAGAAGAGAAAGAACAATAGGATCTAATGGGCTGGGTTTGCAGTCTGTCTCTAAATGTGCTGCTTCAAACACAATGAAATCCAAAGGTGTGAAAAGTATAGCTGCATTGGAAAAATGGTGTTCAAGGTGTGTGTTCTTGAGTTCTTAGATGGCAGGTTATGATCCTGCAGAGGGAAACCTTCCGCAGGGGTGGGGAGAGTTTCCCACCATGACGCAGAAGCAGAGAAGCACTGTGCTCCCTCTGCAGGACCAGCCTTCCCTTAGCCTCGGGGCACCGTCCACGCGGGCACGGGAAGGCTCTAGTCTGGCAAGCACATGAGTGGGGGCAGAATGAACCCCTGTCTGTCCTTCTTGGCCTTTCACAGTCATTTTCTGCTGTTTTCTCTGGTTCATTAATAAATTAAAAGTAGCCTTCAAATAAGAGGTTTTCGAGTTGTGATTTAAAATAAAATTCCTTGGACTTAGATACAGTATTAAGAATAACAGGATAGAAAAGAAGAAGAAAATGAAGAGTGGGAGGTCTACACTTAGTTCTGAAGGGGAAGTAGCTTGAGGGCATCACAAGTATGTGGGTCCGTGAGCTGGTCAGTGCATCACTGGCCCACAGAACAGACCACCTCCTCCAAAGTTCTCAGAGCCTCGCCCTCTCAGGTGAGGGCAGCTTCTCAGGTCTTTTCATCATAGTCTTAACATTAGGACAATGTACTTATTTCCTCACAACATTGTGCCATTCAGAGACTTGCTCCTCCCACCTATCCTCCCATGCTCCTGGGCTTTTCATGCATCTGATTGTAATGTAAAACTACCACATGAGCTCAGCCTCGTGGTTCATTCCACCCCATGGGCTCTCTCCAGCAGGAGCATCAAGAGATGCTTTGCAGGAGGGTATGAAATGAAGTCCAATGGCGGACATTGGCCATTCAGCCTCACCCGGCTCCCAAGTCAACATCGTTGCAAACCATCTAGTTACGTTCTCAGCCACAGCACCCAGAATTAGTTCATAGGCTGGATATCCAGTACGGAATATGGAAGCGTAAAGTCAGCCCCTGTTCTCCATCCTGGACAAACATGGCCTAGCCTCTCTTCTCAGACCCAAGGGTTCAACAAGGATGCCCTGTGCACATCAGGGCTGGGGTGGTCTCTGGTCACTGAGCAGTGCTGCTACCAGCTGTGGGCAGCAGGCTCCCCCTCCCACCTGCCTGCTAGGCATCAGGCCAGCAGTAGCTGGAGTTTTGCATGTTGAGTCCTCAAGACCTGCCTTGGTGTACTCTCCTAACTAAGGACTTCTTTCTAGCTCAAGAGATGGTTCTATAAGTTTGTTTTCATTAAGTGGACCATTATGGGGAACTCAGACCTAAGAGGAATGGGTGGACCTATCCCTGTCCATGTGAGTACTGTGGGAAGAAAGGGAGGTCTGCAGCCATAGAAGGTTGTGGCTTCTCCCTGCTCCCAGGCCACGCACAAGCCATGGTGGTAGGAGGAAGGCTGACTTCTGTTCTGACAGCCCACAGGTCGCTAAGGATACTGGGTCCATCCTGCTTTGGTTGGGGAAGGATGAGCACTTCCACCAGCAGGTGCAACGCAGAGTGTGGACCCAAACATTTGCAGCTGCCTCAGGCTCCCTGTGCGGGAACTGGTGGCTCTCTCTACCAGGGCCCGAGTATCAACAGCAGCCAGGAGGCAGGGCTGCCCATGCACAAGCAACTCATCTAGAATATAGAGCCCAAACAATCCCAAGTGTACATTTCACACATACTATTGGCATCTAAACCCAAGTGATTCTTGAGTTTCATCAAGCAGCTGAAAGACCTACAAATTTCAAATACTTGATATAACAATCTAGGGACCAAAGGAAAGGTTCATTATACAGTCATATGGTCTATCCTGAGACTCTAACCACATCTGGTGGCTCTGAAAAACTGTGTGACAGAGCTAGCAGATGCTTTTTTTTTTTTTTTGGAGACAGAGTCTCATTCAGTTGCCCTGGCTAGAGTGCTGTGGCATCAGCCTAGCTCACAGCAACCTCAAACTCCTGGGCTCAGGCAATCCTTTTGCCTCAGCCTCCCGAGCAGCTGGGACTAGAGGCATGCACCACCATGCCGGCTAATTTTTCTATATATTTTATTTGCCCATAATTTTTCTATTTATAATAGAGAGGGTCTCCCTCTTGCTCAGGCTGGTTTTGAATCCTGACCTTGAGTGATCCTCCCCCACCTCAGCCTCCCAGAGTGCTAGGATTACAGGCGTGAGCCACCGCGCCCGGCCAAGCAGATGCTTTTGAAAGCAGAACTCTGTACACAGGCTTTTTTGGCTGAGAGTTCTGTACAAAATTTTCAATAATGAGAACCCTCAAAAGCAAAGGTAGAATATCTACATTTAGGTGTCCCCAATAAAAAACATATCATTTTGCAAACATGATGGGAAAGGAAACTAATTCCAAAAGGAGCAACAGTACAAAACCACTCTACTAATCAAGCCCCACACAGTCTTCAGAGAGCAATGCCTGGCTCAGACGATCAAGTAGAAATGTGACTCATTCTTTAAGGGTTGGGAGTGACAGAAGCAGTTTGTATCAGTCATCTGGAAGCATCGCTGGGTCTTCAACGCCCCCTGAACACTCAGCTCTGTCCCCACAGGAGGACACCAGGGGCTTGTGCTGAAATTCCTAGCACGCCCTTTGGTACACGTCCTTCCTCATGTCTCTGAACCCTGCAGAAACACATTCTCTGCCAGCTGCCGCCTCCATGTGTTGTATCACTCTTCCCTCCCTGTGTTTGCATCTGTGAGTCTTAACACCCTCCGTAACTCCAGGTCTCCGCTCAGTGACAAATCAAAATGAAAAGACTTCTCCATCTGTGCTTCTTCTCCAAACTCCGTCTCCCCCATCTGTACATTTTTCAGAAGCAAATCAGTGCATTCATTGGCTGCTCCAATGAACGTCTTGCATCCATTTATATAAAAAAAGAAAGGAGCTCAAATCAGGCCTATGTGCCCTCTGCCTCAGTATCTTTGGGGCTGTTTTGTTTTGTTTTTAATAATTCAACATGGTCCCAGAGATCAAGAGCAAAACCAATCAGTGAAAATTCTAGATTAGTCAACTTTGGCTATGAAAACATCACATGAGCAGGAGCTGTCCAACAGTGGACTGGGATGTTGACGACAGACTCACGATCAGATGGGCCTGCTACGTGAGCCACAGCCCAAGCTGGGCCCAGCCACGTGCTCTTTCCGTAGGTGGAGGTCTTGCTTGTTGGGGGGGGGAGGGAAGACTCTTCTACAACACTATTCCTCAAAATAGCATCTTTGCAGCCCTGCAAGTCCTGAGAACAGGGGAAGAGGGGGAGGTGGAGTCCATGAGTTTCAAAAGAAGTTTTTAATTTTTTGTTTCATTCTGAAAACTTTTTTTTTAAAGCTAAAATTAACCTAAGTACTTCTGAATCATGTGGAGATGAACTTACAGCCATGTGATGCCATCTGGTTTCAGAGCCTGAGTTTCTCTTTGTTTTTTACAATGTTGTTTGTGCTGATGGAGCACCTCAAGTCAAAGAAGAGAGTTTAACTTCATGTGATTTTCAGACTGGGTCTAGCATCTCCTAGAGGTCTGCAGGCATAACTTGGGGGTCTGCGAGTGCTCAATTTAGAGAGACATTGCTACAAATATCAAAGTAGAGCTTGCAGAGAATGAAATGAGTGTCACCTTGCCTTCAACAGTGACTCATTTGTGGGAGCTTAAAGGCTGAGAGGCAAGCCAGTCACGGGATGGGAGTCATCTAGGTCTGCACTCTCTGTGCAGGTCCTGCCTGCCCTTTGAAAACAGGCCAAAAAAATCTACCACATCTAAATCAAATAAAAATACTAACTAACCCATCCTGGCAATCCTAATACTAAATCGCAAAGGCACAAAGCAGGCACTTCCTCCCAAGGAAAGGAATAGAGGAGAAACTTGTGAAGAAAAGATGTTACCTGCACATGCTCACCCTCTCTCCCAGGTCCAGCCTCATCTGCTGGTTTGCAGACACAAGGCCCAGGGCTCAGAAGACTTTGTGTGGCTCCAAAATCCCAGGAGCTTGTTCCTAAATGACGAGGCACATGGCACTCAGATACTGGTGGCATCAAATTCCTCCCAGTCCCCAAAATGAGAGAGGTCGGCCAGAGCAGACACTCACACCAGCCCCAGCAGCACTTGAGCACCGCTACTAATTTGCCTTTTCCTCACTTGTCCTTCCTGAGCTGGGGCAGGTCTCTACAGAGAAGGGTCCTGGCAGCCCACCCAGGCAGCCAGAGTCCGGGCAGCCAGCCCTCCAAGCCTTGATAGGGCTCCTCTTAGCTGACTACTAAGGCCATTTTGGACCAGTTCCTAGGACAAGGGAGTATGGGGCTTGGCTCTGGGCTCAAGGAGCAGCTGGGTGGGAGCCAGAGCTTGGCACAGAGTTGAGTGCTGGAAGCTAGTGGGGAAGCAGCAATTAGGTTATGGTAGGGAGAGCAGTGCTTTTTCAGGCTCTATCACTTGTGAAGGAAGAGTCTGTGGGCTGGTC